GGCAGGCAGGCAAGCGGCCGCCTACGTCTTTTAGGGCCACGGCCGAAACGCGTGAGGCACGACCTAGCCTCAACGAACGCTTGCCACAGAAGGCCACGCCAAGACGGGCTCAATGCGGACGAACGAAGCAAAAGCCGCGCCAACGACGTTCGTTTGAATGGATCAAAAGACGGAAGAATTCATAGTAGGTAGAATAGTAGGATTTTAGACCGCTCTTCAACGCTTCAGTGCTGCGTTAATCCCATTCTGGAGCTCGGAGCTTCGAATCCTCGACGGGACGGGGATTAACGAGAAAGGAAAAAAAACATCCACTCCAATCAATCGGCATGATTGTCGAGGACAGAGCAGGTTTCTCGGTTGCGTGGATCGGCGGGGGATCGATGGGGAGTCGTCGTCCTTCCGGACTCCCGCAGAGTCTACCCCCGGTTCAAATCTCAAAACCCGATGCCATTCATTGCATTCGCATGATACCTACATAGATTTCCCAGAACTGTCGGACGTGGGATTTCATTCGTGAAATATCGTGGCTACCAGATTTGGTTCGAGGGTCGTGAGGTTCCTCGACCTGAAATTAATATCGCCATAATCCATCGCGAGGATTTGAGCGAGGGTAGAGGGTTCAAATCGGGCCCTACAAAGATCCGATATGATGTCAAGGAGTCGCCGATGCAATCTTCGTGACGGTGCCAATCTGCCATCATGATCTCACAGGGGAGCTAGGTTGTCACATGATTCGTGGTGAGAACAGAAGAGTCAGGGTGCTTTGAATTGCGATTCGCGGCCACGCAGACGTTATGCTTCCGTATAGGTCGAGTGGCAACGAACCGAGTGAGTCGGCAATCCCGCATTCCGACTGACCGAGTCAGGATTGAAGTATACGGAGCAAAATCGGGATTCCGAGGTCGAGGTGATCCATTTGGGGATAATTGAACCAGTTGAATGATATCGTGGAGAAGGGGCGAGAGGAGGAAGTTGAACGCAGCGGAAAAAGAAGCTGAAGAGATTCAATGGCCGCGGTAAACGAAGTTTCCTGTAACCTTGAGCCGCTCCCGATCCGCTTCCTCGAAGCTCTTCTCAAAGAACTAAGGGGTAACTTTTCGGGAGTGTTTTCCGCTCCGTAGATTTTCCCCGTAGAGCGCTTTCTCCTCACGGATGTCCTCCACTGGAAAATGGCGCGTGATCGCCTTCCCGTTGACGGAATGTCGTCGAAGATGACCGGTGAATGATATCAGGAGCGCTTCCATCCCAGGGGCGACTTTCGTGTTGGTGGCAGGGCTGGCTGCCCGAGCGATCGATTTCCGTCCAAGTCCCCTGCCGATCCAGCTGCTTTTCCCCATTAGCTTCGGGATCGCGGATACACTTCGATTCTGTGAGAAACATCCTCCTATGAGCGAATCGTTCTGCCACCAATGCTTTCGGTGTGCAGGGAGGCGTACAAGTGGTTGGCTGTGCGCATCGGGAAGCCTTGAGACTAGGGGTTGGAAGAAGAAGAACGAGAGAAAAGGAAAAGTCCAAGAGGCCCTCCCTGATGGGGATTATGCCCGCGCACTCACCCAGCCCACCAAGCGCAGCCGGCTGCAGAGCACAACCAAATATCGAACGAACCGGCGCGATGGTGCGTCGGTCGGCTCGACCGATCGGCCAGCCAGCAAGCAGCAGTTGGATGAATTTCCTTAGGCACTCCGTTTGAGGCATCGATCACCATCGTGGATTGTATGCAAGCAGTCAGACAAGCAGGCGGGCAGCTAATCTTGAATGAATTACTCGAGGCTCGGCACTCCATGCGCGGAGCTGAGCGGAGCAGATTTCCCAGAATAATTTCCTATATTGCCCAAGTCGAGCACCGAATTCCGTGGACGGCCTGTCGAAGCAGGAATTATTTCCAGTCGCCGTCACCTTTTCCCGGTGGACATGGAACGGGCCTTCTGCGAACGAACTTCACCCTCAATGAGGAAAGAATTCCGGCCACGCCAGTATTGGCTATTTATTCGGGAGGAAATAAAGAAGATTAGGGGACTCGGACGTCACGAAGGGTTGTTTGTTGTTCTCCCTCACCGTGGCGAATCCATGCAAGGACGACATTGCGTCGCGGCGCTTGTCGGACGCGGTTCCACGAGCAGCGAGTCGAGAAAGCTACTCGCGGCTCGAGGTCACGCCTGACGTGAAGATTCAGATATGGTCTTCCTCTAACTCATTGAGCCCCGAGTATTTCGAGCGCTTGATGATTCGATCGATCGATCTATTTAGAGGTCGATAAACCAATAAAAATCCAGCTCCCCACGGCATGGCTCCACTTCGAAACCAATTGCACGAAGGGGAAGCCCTGGAGACGCCCCGATGATCTTCCGTCCGAGGTGGGAGCTCGAAATATTCTTCCCATCGTACGGGCGGCTCCCAAAAGAGCGTGGATCGAGGTGTCGTTCAGAAAGTAAACTTCGGTCGCGGTGGATACGATATTTCCAAAATCAGACATTCCGCGAACTTGCAGCGGCGGCAGAAGCCGCGAGTGAGCGGAAAGTCCTCGAGAGCGCTGGTTACGCTTTCCGGCATTGTGCTGCGACGATGGCTACGGCCGCTGACGTCATCATCATCGTTGTGGCTGTCGTCGTCGGTGGCCATGCCACCGCCAGGATTCGGAAAGAACGGCCATCATGGCAGCGAGGAACCCATCGTGCGCTCACCGCTAGGCGGCGTGCTGCGTCGACACCGCCAACAACAGCTAGTCTGTTGTTGGTCTCTAAAGCCTTCGCTCTAAGATGATGATTATTGTGATCGCCGTCGTCGTCATCATCCTTCGGCACGCAGAGGGCCGGCACTTGTGGACTTAAGCGTCAGCGTAAAGCCAACGATGGACTCACACACAAACTCCCTCACTCACTCACTCGTCCGTCCGCTCACATACCGAGCGGGGGCGGTTACGGCGGCGGCGGGTGTTTGCCCCTGATTGGATACAGGCATGGCAGCGCTCCCTGGCGGTCCGTCACTAGAAACTTCAATATTGCCACTTACGATTTTTTCCGGCGGACGGACAGACAGACCGACAGATAGGCGGAGGGCCGACTGACGAACGAAGGGCGTCATCATCGCCGCTCACACAATACGTAGAGCGCCTCGTCGGTTTGTCAGTCCGCTTCCCTGTACCTAGCTGCAGCAGCAACATCAATGCTACAACAACGACTACGACCGTTGCTGCTGCAATAGCAGCAGACCCCTCGACTCTCTCACGCGAACGTTTAGCGACACCCATGCAACGAGAATTTCCTGTCGCGGACGCTGCTTCGGCGAACAGAAATCGAAGGATTTCCGTAGCTCATGCTGCATTCATTTTACTCTCGGGGTCTTCGGGTGCTTCCTCCTGGCCCAGAAAGCGATTTAATTATCCTTCACCCCGCTAGTTTCGAGCCTTTGAATTCGACACTCGACGGCGGGTCGACATCAATATTCACGGAATCCGGATTCTGTACTCCAAATTCACCGAGAGAGAAAGAGCCTCGGAACATTCAGAATGCGTTAATCGCTTGGAAACGGAGGGAATTCGAGATGTCTCTGGTAATCGAATCTAAGGAAGCGGTCGACATCTGAATTACCTTTTGGTTAGACTTGGAGCGATCGAATCCGCCGGCGGAACTCGTGAACTGACGCATACCCGCTCGAACTCTCGGTCCGAGATTCTCTCTCTTTTTGGGTTACCTCGGCTGTAATACGAGGAGCGTTTTCGATTTCACTGATCGATCGTCACCTCCTCCTCGATGCATTCCTCTCGTAGCCTCGGAGCATTTCGCGTGAAAAGCAGGAAATGTTTCCACAGATGTAAATAAACCGAAGAATCGGCCTCATCTCAGATCTCACGCGCGCTGCGTGAGATTATCATGTTCGCTCGCGACCTCGTCTCAGTACTCATACGACGACCAGACCGATCGATAGCGCCAGCTCAGTCAATCCCTGATGGAATCTGTTAGCGATACTGGTGATGGTGTTGTAGATAGATGGTCCTCAGTTGCGTCCGCACCTTCTCTGACTGAGTTAAGCGCGGTAGATGCACTCGACCACGAGCCGACAAGGACTTGTGGTTGTGTTGCTTCTTACGCAACGCTGAAAGGAGAAACCGACATCCGAGTTTCTGCGAAGAAACGCACCGTCTCCGAGATTATTTGGATAAGGAATGAATGAGCTCACTATCTCCGATTCTGGAATCATTTTTGTTCTCACGAGTCATAGGTATAGATGCGCACCCGGCACCAGCTAACCGTATTTCCACTGGAGTAACAGGTGACTAACCTTTAACATTTCAATTCCAGGATTTTCAAATACCGTATGGTGAACAATTCGATTCTCATTCCTCTTATGCCTCCAGTTTAATTTGCAACTTCTGGTTTTCCGAGGATTTTTTCGTTTTTTTCTTGGTTCATTACAGGCACAACTCGCGGGAATTTTATCCGAAGAGGGGTCGATCAGAATCATCGTCGAATTAATTACTCGTTTTTTTTCCCGCCGTCCTTCTTTGCTATCTGTGCATTTTTGAGTTTGTGTCTCCTCCAGTTCCCTCGGTTCCAATGTCCCTGTTCCACTAGTGTGAAAGAGACTTACGGCAGGAGAGCATGACATTTTCCCAGACGCTCCGGTTCTGGAACGCCAGGAGTTTTGGACTTCACGATTCCGGAAGCATAGCTTCACGGGATCGGATGAAATTCGAGACTTGGTAGCAGCGCGTAGCTGCGGTTCGGTTGCGTACACGCTCGTTACGCATACTCCCGGGCACCAGACCGCTTTCCAAAGCGTACTGTGCTTCGCATGCCTTAGCGAGTTTCCTAGTACAGGCTGTCATAGTAGCGCTAACCGTAGTCGTAGTGTCCTAAAATCAGGGAGGTTCGGTCGTTGAAGCCGTTCCCTTGAGGGGACTCGCTGCACGACGTGCATGCTTCTCCCAGCGGATGAGGGATCTTCCGTGTGTATCGAGCTTCGCATTTGCTCGTGCGATGCTTGGCAATACTTCACTCACGATGGTTCATTCTCTTCCTCTAGGTTTGACGTTATCATCCCCCGGACTAGCATTCGTGTGCCCAACGTGCAACCGATCACTGAAGTCCCGGCCGGTTCTGATGAAGCACATGAAACTCCACGACCGAAACCGTAAAATCTACGATTGCCAGCTTTGCTCATACACCTGCAACTTCGGGTTCAACCTGAAACGACACATCGCAACGGTGCACGCCAGACAGGCCCCGCTCGCGACCTCACCTGGCAGTAACAGTAATAACAATTCGACGAACTCTGTGGCTATAATGCCTACATTCAACTTCTAGGGCGTCGGTAGGGATGTTCGTTTCTCTACACGTTTTCTCTCGTCGCTTACCCAGACGAAAACAAGGGGGCAACCGACCATTTAAATCTGCGTATCTCATTGTAAACACATTCAGAGAGAACCCACATCGAATTCACCATCACTTCACGGATGGATATAGGAAGGAAGGGCTCGATCGATCATCGGTTCACAGTGTGAACCATTCGAGCTTCTCCTCTGAATATCGATTGAATAATTCACCGATTGAATATACATTCATCGAACCGATTGACACCGGTTTCGGAACTCTCGACCCGGGGGTGGTCTCTCAGAGAACCTTTCGGTCTAGACTCTGACTTCCCCATACTCGACTCTGGATGTCTAATCCTCGTCAATCCTGGAAATCCGAGCCTTTTAAAGCGAATGGCAGTATTGTTGCAAAGTATTGCCAAGCGGAGGTTGGCTTGGTAGGACCAAAATTCGTTGTGGGACTGTTTTTACTAGGTATACTCCTCCGAAGAACCTTAGTTAACTATTGTAGGTAGAGGTGTGAGGCAGTCGAGCAGGCGTTCGAGAACACGAAGGAAGTATTAGAGAAAAAAGCTACGCCGGAGGCTCAGGAGTTCAGAGTGGATTAACCGACATGATTATTTTCTTTCTCGCATGAATACCGTGTTGTGGATCCGAGCGGCAAGTAGTGGAACCGGCTGGAATCAGCAAGCGACCCTTTAGACATTCTCTTGCATTCGGACTCGAAGCATCGAATAATCAAAAGCAACTTTGAAGTTTTTTTTCCTCGAGGGAGGCGGGATTCTGCTAAAGCTGCGCCAGCCCCTCTCAGCTCAATCAAGACAAAACTGACGAATCTGTGTAAATTCACGTTCCCTGTTTGTCGTCTTCTGCTCGGTCTCGCTGCCAAAGATACAACGAACAGAGATTCGATAATATTTTGATTGAAGGCGGTTGGAGTTAACTGTAAGTGAGTTTCAGAGACATTTCCGCTGGTTATTCCGCTGACTATAATTATAACGATTATTATTATTTTACATCATCGCAGCGTTAACGGAGAAGAATCGCAATTTTTCATGTGCAAATGGATTCCTGCGCAATTCCTATCTCGAACGAGAAAAAACGTTAAGACCAGGTTTGCGAGCTCAGAAAAAGTCCAGCAACCAAAGATTTGCGCCCGCAGAGTCGAGCGTCGGATCGATCGGCTGGTCGGTCGATCGGTCTCAATACCTTAAAGCATTAATTACGCTTGAGAATAAGCAATTCACATTATGAGGCTCAAACGTCCATTCCCGAACGTGAGATGAGGAACTACAGACAATTCCACATTGGATCAGCATTCGAGATGCATTTTTTGACGGCGTACTGTTTGTTATGCGCCCTCACTTGGCTCCATGTTTTGAGGATTCGATAGCAGTCTGCGCGACGGTACAGAAACTAACGGAAATACGGGGAGTGAACCCATGCTCGCATGGGTCCCGGGATATTTTCTGTTGCCAAAATCAAACTAAGGGTATCTATACATCACTGATGCATTACAATTACAATCAAAAGAAAAGCAATCAAACGTATGCGAGTGTTGAGCGCGAGTTTCGTCGCTGCCGTCACGCATGTTTTCGTCGTAGTTGTTCAAAATTGGTATCCTTCCTAGTCTTCGAGTTACGCCGGATTCGACGACCGACGACTTCAAACAATGACGCGCGAACGCTCAAAGCCTGACGATTTGTGTCCAGTCCCGCTACGCGTAGGTAGACCCACTTGCCAATACCCCCACACTGAGAAAAACCAAAGATTTACCTTTTTTGCCCACCAAAAGCCGACATATTATAAACCCGTAATCGCTGTTTCATAGAACCGCATCGTTGCGGACTGTCATACCAAAGCGTGCCTTGAATGGTCCAACTGAAAACCGACAACTAAGATGTAAGACAAAGGCGAGTACCATGGCGCCGATCCTGACGGAAATAGATGAGAAGCATGCTCCATTTATCCAGTAATTAATGAAGATGGTTCGATGATCTTGAAGATGATGCTCGATATAACCTACCACGTGTGAAGATGGAGTCGAGCTGCAATTTGTATGGTGCTCTATTGATCAATTGCGAGCGAAAAACACGCGATCTCTGCCAGTGCGGGGCGGTTCCCACAGATTTGAGGTTACTTGTCAACCCTCTTGAGATAACAAGAAAACAGCAAGAAGCATTAAATACGAAGTACAGCTCTAGAATTTTCAAGTAGATGAGTGAAAGAGGAGGCTGAAGTTGCTGAAAGTCTACGGGGCTCGCAAAGTGTGCAAATGATATGTGCATAAGTTTATCCATAGCTCCTCTTTCTGATAGTTCGAGGAATATTTTAATAAACCATTATATCATTTCATAAATTTTCAGTTTGTTTTTGTTCGCCGTTCTATACATCGACCAAAACCTTTGTTCGACTTACTTCATTCGTTGATGATTCGTTCGAAAGACCGGTGTTTATTTCCATTCGATCCCATCAGAACTTCAACGATAGCCGCGACGACGCATCGTGGATTTGGTCATGATCTTAATCTTGATTTTCATCCGTCGCTCTCTTCCGCGCAGCGATTCTGCACGGCTCCTTGCGCTGCCGTCGCAGATCGAACGGAACTAAGAGAGCATTGCAGACCTTATCCGCTAAAACGTTTGTTGTCCATTTCAGGCTGAAGGCGTACCCGGGCAGCTCAGAACAGATGGCGAACTGTTCGATGCTTGGCAACACATGCTGCCGGATGCCGAACTGAAGAGGAAATTTTTGCCGAGAGTAAAAGTGATTCATTTCTGCAGATACTAACTTGGAGTTCTCGTTTCAGGGATCTTCGTCAAATCTGAAAATTTCGATGTCGCAACGATAATATTCTCTTCGGGTCGTCCTGCTGCAAGAAAGCAAGACGAAGAAGAAGAAATTGTCGTTGCCTAGTCGCCCACCATCTCTTTGAGCTACATTAACGCACGTTGTTTTTTCTCGTTTCTGTTTTGCAGTGTCACGCGGCGCGTGTATTGTATTTTGGTGCCGCCATATGTTTAGCATGTATCCCCACCATTGAGTTCTGTTGAGTTTTTACCCTTGGTCAGCTACCGTTCTGCTACCGTGCGTGCACCGTGAAGATCCGCAAGTATATCTTCTACCTAGGAAGATTTCCTCAGTTCATCCCAACCGGCTAGACTAAGTAAGGGTGGAATAATCATAGTAGGAACTTCAGCTCGAAGACCCCGATCAGTAATGGAGGTGCTGACCGGGAGATTGCCGTAGATTCAGGGGATTCCCCACCGTGACGCTATCTCGAAGCGCGTGCAATCGATGAGGAGACGGCACGTTCTCGCAACCGGAGCAAACGACGCAAGTGCCGTCAATCGCAGCTGCTCAAGAATTTCGGACGAGTTCGGGCGGGAACGCATGGAAGCCGAACCCGCGTTAACCGTGCCATGGTGGTGTAGCCACTCTTGATTCTCCCCCGAACCAACTCAGTCAGATTCTTCTGGGATCGCCGCCGACGGCATGGTTGCTATTCGGTCGTTCGGTCGCTTCGAGAAGAAGCCGTTCTCGCTCGCTCGCTCGCTTTTTCGGCCGGTTCTAGGGGTGTTGCCGGCCTGCCTGCCGCCTGCCCGCCTGTGTCATGGCCACCGTTGCCGCCTGTTGCTCGGCTGGCTGGCTCACTCGCTGGAGACGCACCGGCAGCGAACACAAGTGAGCTTGGGGCACCGAAAGGTGGATGAACCCTGGGGTGGACCACGTTTCCGTCGCAGCGTTGCCCGCCGCATTGGAAACGCCTCTGCACGTTATACAGTCAGGAGGACCGCGGCGACGGCAGCATCCGGCTCGACTAATCTTACCGGAGTCGTGGCCACGTTCTGGCATTGAACTCGGTCAACCGAGCCTAACCTGTCCTTCATTAGTTTGCTCCCTCTCTCCCTCGCTCTAGGGCCCCTGAGAGATGTTATTCCAATGGGGAAATAAAAAGCCTCGGAGCCATGTGGCGCCTCCTTCGCAGAAGTGAAAAGGAAACCTTCTCCTTTCTGTGAACTTTGACTTTCGTTCACCTTGAACTTGGGTCTTCCCGCGCGCATGATTTCATGCCGACCGGAAGGAAGACCCGTCGAGCCCACTCTCGGAAGTCTCCCGTACGAGGTCTCGAGGCAACGTTCTCTCATCCATGCTACTTGTCGCTGTCTGCTAGTTCTTGGCCGTCGTCGTCCTCTCCTTGTCGTTGCTGACCACGATATCTTATCCATTACTGGCGCCTCTCACGGGGTTTCAGAGCTGTTTCTACTACGATTACTACTAGCAGAGCCGAGGCGAATGCCGCTTTCAGTCAGTCAGTGAGAAAGCTCTTGAAAGCTCGTGCCATCTAGCGTCTCCTTCCTGAACTAATAGGGGAAACTCGATGTAATTCACAGCTACGCTCAGAAGAGAAAGCCGCGAGCTGAAAATTATCAGTCCGAAAGCTATCAAACAGGAGATCGTCGACGAGGTCGAAGATGAATTCCTCACGCGGTACAACAGTTTCATCAACAATATGCAGTCCTCTGTCCAGGGCAAGGTACGGGAATGTTTGAAGCCCGCTTTCGAACACTGATTCTACATCTCATCTTAGACAGAATATCAATGAGCCTACCCTATGATGATCTTCCCATGGCTTTCTCGGGATCTCATTCATCCTGGATTCGAGCAGCGGTTAAGACGTGATTATTTCCTTTTTAGACCGACTTCACCGGCAGCGCGAATCGCAACGCCACCAGCGACAACCAATGTCCGATCTGCAAGAAATCCTATTCAACCAAACACTCGATGCGCAGGCATATGCTCATGCATAAGCCTTTCAATAGGAGGTACGTCTCGCGGAGGGGACTGAGGGAGTTTTCAATTAATGAGCTCGCTGCTTCCCCCTGACCATCGATGACAGTCGGGCAGGTCCACTGAATTCTTCTCTTCTCCCGCAGATTCGAATGCGTCATCTGCCAGAAAATGTTCAATTGGCCCGGAAACCTTCGCACCCATTTGCAAACGATTCATCAGATGCGACCTGAAGAGTTCGAGTTCAAAAACTACAAGTTCCCCGAGCCAGAGGAAATAATTTTGGAAGCTTCCGCCGCTGGAAACCAATAAGTTGAAATATCCTGAATAATCTCCGCCTTGTCACGAATGGAACATACTCAGAGACAGACGCTCGGAAAACTGCTCTCCCGATTCCACCTGTCACCCGCCGGTCATGCCTACGCGCAAAGCCGCGCCTAGCCTGACTGCGCCCGTGAGCTTTTTGCGGAAAAACGCAAGTTCCCAGCCCTAAGGAAATCGGTTCGCGGAAAGGCGCCACAGTCATGCAGGCAGATACTACTGAATGGTCACACATAGAACTCACAATTTTCCGCGAGCTTCTCCGTGAAGAATCCAGACCTGCTCGATATGGTTCGTCGATCAGCTGATCTTGGAACTGATCGTCGATGAATTCGGGGCGATCATCGATAAGTTATTCTGATAGAATCTGGAGGAAAATTAGATTTCTGTTTGGATGAAGTCGGTGACGAGTCGACAGGTCGAACTTCCGATGTGCTCGCACGTTCATCGGTGTGTTCGTCATGCCCTGTACACTCCGGTCCCTGCTCGATGGATTCGAAGGGTAGAATCATCCACGAAATTTCCTCATCGATCCAGTGATCGCTTGTGAAGGCTCATCGGCGAACGACTCGATCTGATCGAAGAGCAGGACCATTTCAGAACGTTCCTCATGAACCCTCACCGACTCAAGTCTGGAATCCGCGGGAAGAGCACACGGGAGAACCCACGCAGAAGAGAAAACAAATCTAGTCCAAATGAGCCGTTCTCTTTTGAGCATCAGAGCCGGCGTCTCGTCCTAGTCTTTTGCCTAAGCGTCGTATATACTCAGTATACGCGAGATTTGTTTTTGTTGTGTTTATCTCTATTTATTTTAGTATTCAATGAACTAGTCAATTTTGGGAGATCCCCTGATGGTCTGTCGTGGTGGCTTGCCTGCGTTACTTTCCTTTCTCATTGGAAGTCGATGCCATCCTTTAATGAGTTGCTCGTTAATTTAGTCCCTAATATTTTCTCACAATCGGTTAATTTATCAACTCACGCATGAACCGGTCAACGCAGCCGACCGTTTGCCCACCGATTGACTCACAAGGCCCACAAACCCATCAATGAATGATTCGAAACTTTGATATCTCTTGAGCACTCAAGAGCGCGATCATTCTTGATTGATGGATGGTTTGCTATCCTCTCTGCTCGACATCGAGCCGCTCATATCGTCGACAGCGTGTCCTACAAGAAGTTCATAGCCTCTGGCAAACTCATGCACACTCGCTAGGCTATTCCGTGAGGTCTCGCCTCTGTCTGTCAAACTCCCGACTGCCTCGCTTCTCTCCCCCGGCATCGCTGGAAATGTGGACCTCCATGGGTTCGAGAAGCGTCCCTGACGGTGTGAGCACTCTCCCTCAGTCGAAGAACTCCGACCAGTTTGCTGTTCATACCATGATACGATGATGGTCAAAATGACTATGACCACCTGGCGGTGACGAAGACGGCGACGATTATGATCTATTATCCAAGCAGATAATTATTATTATCCTAGATAACGATGATAGTTTTGTAAATATCGAATGTGAGATACAGGAACGCTGGAACTGCGGAACCGGTTGTTTGAACAGTCCCGATAGTTTCTGTCGAATGAGACAACTACCTAATGGAACGAACATATAGACAGGAGACAAGCGAAGAAAAGTTTGTCGGTCAGATGTCGTAGGGCAAGTATTGTGAGACAGACCGAGTAGGAGCGCTTCTTCGATTAATTTCTGTTTGCTCCCCTGTTGACCGACCGACCGACCGATCGATTGATCACGCGCCCTTCATTCATCCATCGATCAACTCATGAAGTCATGATTTCTTCTCATCTCACCTCAATCACTGAGTTGATGTTTCATGTTCTTCCTTACCCGCTCCATGAATCATCGGAGTATCCCTTGGCCTGATTAGACAGCTCGTCTCGAGGCCTCGCGAAACATCTCGCCTGATCGAGATCCTCCTCATCATATCCACAACGAACCCTTTGCTGCTCAGGCTGCTCATCTCTCGCTCAATCCCCTCAACCGTTGATGAATTTCGAGATCGTATGCTCCGTTGATGGATCGATGATGTGCCTCGATCAATCATGCATTATCGGAGACCGAGACGAGACAGAGGTTCTGTTTCATGGTTTTCTTGTTAATCGATGTTATGAGTTTTTAATTTTGACTTGAGTTATGTTTTGAGATCTGTTAACTACTCACCTGGTCCCTTCTACCTGAGAGTCGATCCTAACGTACCTAGGGTCGCCTCAAACGGAATCGAGCTCGGTGGAAGGGAGATATCATTGTCAACATAGGGGAAAGTTATATCCGAAGCCCGAAATCGATATTCTCTGTGATTCTGAGTATCTCACCCATCCCCACTATTTTAAGTATCCTGTCAGGTCTCCAGTAGTTCCCTCTCCGATTCGATGTCTTTTTTTTCTCCCTCGGGATCGGTTGCCTGAGTTTTTACTGTCAATCATTCTGAGTTAGGCGCTATGATGATATTAAGGACAAACTGAAGATTGTGGGAAGAAACGCAGTGTTCGAACCCCAGGTCGACGCAAGAGGGGAGCCCGAGTGCCGAACATGAGACACGAGGCTCGTTTTGCCGATGCCTACGCGTTCATCGTTCTGGAAGTTTAATTTTCGAGAACCTCTATCGAGAAGCCCCAGCCTCATCCAGGAGTTTCCATCCATCGATGGGTTTCGAACACTGCGCACCCAAATGGGCAATGTATATGATCGAAGTACTTAAATAGGAAGCAGTGACAAACACAGATGCAGAGGAGAACTAAGTAGTCATGCCCCATTGAATAAAACGAGGATTTTATGATCTATCGGAACAAAATGTGTCTCTTTATCGTGTTCGCCGAGAACCAAGATACTCGGACCGCGCCAGAAGCCGTCTGCCGACAATCTCCTCACAAGTGTCGATGTGAGCAGAATCGTGCTATTACGAGCAGATTCTAACGAAGCTTTTCCTTTCAGAACTCTATTGGATACCCTGCGCCGTCTACATCATCGGACCCGTTATGCTTATGATTTCTTCTCTGGTCGTCATCGTGTTGTCGAAAACTCCTCCTCTACTCGGTTCCCCCCTGCGTTTTGTGTTCTGTTGTCAGGTTTATGTTCGCTGCCTCAGCTGGTGTTGTTCGTGTCGGTAGGTGAGACTGTGTCTCGTCCTCTGAGAACTGCCGACTTGGAACTGGTTCGCCCACTGACAGTCGATCCGGAGTATTTTTTACCCGATTTCTCAAGTCTCCTCTCAATTGTCTAGTCGGTATCCAGCTTCTCGGACTCGGATTCGAGGGCTCTTAGCGTCAGTTCTGCTCAGTTGGTATCAGTTCCTTTTCGTACGTTTCGTTTGTCCGATGTGTATGTCAGCCGAGCTTCGGGGTATCGTCTATATTGCAATCCAATTGTCGAAACGACGATGGGGGAACGGATCGATTAATTGGTGCACAAAAGATGTGTCCAGATGAGGATTGATCCATGGCGCATCGAGCAATCCTGGAATCACTTACCTATTTCCATCAGGCTGCACCGTTCGACCCGTTTTCCAATCGTCGATTTCGGCCGGATTCTCTTGGCTCTCTCAGGGATGAAATCTAAACTCTTCTCTTTTTTTAGGCTTCGAAGAACGCAAGCGGTATTCTTGTCCCGAATGTGGGCGATTATTTACCGCGAAGAACAACATGAAAAGACATCAACAGGTTCACCAAGCGATAAGAGTGAAACATACGTGCCCCCTTTGTGAAAAACGTTTTTCGTGGGAGCAAGACTTGAAGGTTCACATCAGGATGCGACACCCTGATCAGCTGCCTAACTACGCGTAAATCTCCGTGAGTGCCCACGGCACGGTCTGATCTCTCCGGCCGGCACGTTCGGGTCCCGTCCTGCAATGTCCGCAATGCCTGTTGTGTCTGTGCGCTTCGGAGTCGTCGTAGTTTCGGCTTCTCAATCAATGGCCCTGCGACGGAGAAGGACTCGGAATCGTCGTTCCTGCTTCCTTGCGATCGCTCGAATGACGGGAATCTTTGTTTTTTCGTCTCGTTGCAGGATCAACGGACTCCTCAGGATCAGTCGTCGATTTGTCGTCGCCATCGCCGCTGCAGTTGTCGCCGCGGCCGCCGCAGCAGCTGCCGTCGTCGTTGTTCTTAGAGTCACCGCGCCACCTGTCGTGTCTCTATTATACGCTTTGCTCCCTCATACTAGCACCTATGTTTTTTTCTTCCTTGCACGAAGAATTGCAGTGGAGTTTGCACTTTTCGGAGAAAAGCCTCACAAAATGTTTCTGTGCTGAAACATCATACGCACTGGTGTGGAGGGTTGGAGAAATGCGCGTGATGATTGTTTCGCTGCTGTTGCTACTTGCACTCAAACAAGATCATGGAATAACTACTTCAAATCGCCGTAACAATAACGCAGGTGGAGGGCACGAATGCCAGTCGGTTTTCACACCAGGCAGACCATCTGATTTGGCGTCGCGTCGATTATCGCGCTCAATAGCTTATGCGTCGCCTGAATCTGATGGCAATCAATCCATCCGATGGAGGCGATCGATTCGACGCTCGATTGGTCTTCCGTCGGAAAATCGAAAATGATGCGTATCATACGCCTAGGTGGTTAATCGGTGCTGACAGCCATCGTTGGCTGTTCCTCGCGGGAGTCTCAGCGAAACCCATCAAAATTTCTCGTAGCCACTCATTTGAGCGGTCTCGGAGGAGTCATCCGAATCGTCATTGACTTCGCAGGTCGTTCGGTCGTGCTAGTCCAATCGACGCCAATCAGGGCGCTATCTATTCACAGACAAGTTTTCCTCGCTTCAAACTAGTAAGCAGTCAAGGAAAAGCTTGATTTCAGTCGGACTGATGGCGTTCAAGAACACTGTCTCAGTGTATTATTGTGCTCAAACGAAGGCGTGCAATAACAACCAAAGAACCCTTGTACATTCCCCGAAGTTATCAGAGCAGCTCTCTTTGAAAGTTAAAATTCCAATGAAAGTCCAAAGAGCTAGGAAGCATCGAGAACAAATCA